ATGGGAGTGGTACAACCCTGGGCCCCATCTCACCCTGCCCTGCTCCCCACAGTCATGCGGTGCCTGGGAATCCCCAGCCGGGTGGTGACCAACTACAACTCAGCCCACGACACCAACGCCAACCTGACCATTGACCGCTACGTCAACGAGAGGGGGGAGCAGGTGCGGCAGTCCTGGGACAAGATCTGGTGAGTGGCACAGTGAGACCCCAGCCTGCCCACCCCTGGGCTACCTCTGCTCCTTCCCCAGAGCCTGGCAGGTGCTGGGGGAGGCTGATGATTCTCCTCGCTGGTTTCCCTTGCAGGAACTTCCACTGCTGGGTGGAGTCGTGGATGGCCCGTCCAGACCTGGCAGCTGGCTATGATGGGTGGCAGGCGCTGGACCCAACRCCCCAGGAGAAGAGTGAAGGTACAACGTGCTCCACACAGATCCTCCATCCACCTCACACCCCGACACAGCTGGGTCACCCCACCACAGCCACCCCTCGTGCTGAGCCCTGGCGTGCTGACGGTGGCTCTGCTCCACGCAGGAGTTTACTGCTGCGGGCCGGCCCCCGTCAAAGCCATCAAAGAGGGTGACATGCAGTTCAAGTACGACATCCCCTTCATCTTCGCGGAGGTGAACGCCGAYGTGGTGTACTGGGTGGTGCAGGGCGACGGGATGCAGAAGCAGAGCATCCGGTCCTCAGACGTGGGGAAGTTCATCAGCACCAAGAGYGTAGGCAGGGACAGCCGGGAGGACATCACCCACAACTACAAATATCCCGAGGGTACGGGGGCCTCAGGGCAGAGACATCCAGGGAGAGGTGTCGCTGYCGGGAAACAACTGCGGCAGGAGGGCTCCGGGGCTCAGGGCAGAGCAGCCCAGCCCWGCCCAGGCCCTCCCCRTGCTCCAGGGYATCACAGGAATTTTGTGCACCGCAGGGTCCGAGGAGGAGCGGGCRGTGTTTGAGAAGGCAGAGCATCAGAAGAAATCCATCGGGGAGGAGGATGAGGGGCTGCATCTCCGGATCAAGGTGTCAGAGGGTGCAAACAAAGGCCGTGACTTCGATGTCTTTGCTGTYGTCGGCAACAACACGGACGAGGAGCGTGTCTGCAGGGTGACGCTGTGTGCCCGTGCCAGCAGCCACAACGGCACCCTGGGGCCCCAGTGCGGCCTCACAGACCCGGTGGACATCGACATTGAGCCCAGGGCAGGTAAGAGACCCACTGATGGTGAAAGGGCTTCTTTGCCAGGGCTGAGGTCAGGGCAGCAGCATCCTGTGTTGAGCTGCTCTGTAGGCGATGCTCCTTTGGGCACATCCTCCTTAGTCAACTCCCACTGTGGGTTTTTAATCTTCATGAGGAGATGAGGAAATTGCATGATGATCAGGCAAAGGCTGGAAATGCATTTGGAGCTGTACAAGGGCTGCTGTAGCTGTTACACCAAGGGAGTGAGCTGGGCACAGCCAGGCTGCCATCCCGGGTGCTCCATGGCACTCATTGCATCCCTCCTGCTCCCCACAGCCTTTGGGCTGGGCCGGGCTCTCTGGTGGGATCTTCCCGCAGCAAGGACAGCAGGACTGGCCCAGCTCAGCCCAGGCTGGGGGAAGTGGGCGGCACTGGGTTTGCTGGCCAGCAGTGCTGAAGCTCTCRGTGTCTCTCTGGGTGGGCGTTCGGCTGCAGAGCTGTCCTGGCACGGCTCCTGAACCTCCCTCGCCCTTATCACACGTGAACGTCACCATCTGGTCATTAAACACGAGTCTGGGTTTACGTGAGTTTGCCAGAGACCCTTCAGGGCTTGGAAAGGCCACACATCTGCTGTCCTGGAACAGGCAAATGTTTACCCTGTGCCGAGCCCTGCTCCTCACCGGCCTCTCGCAAACGCCGTGCTCGGCGCTCTGCCAGGGCTTGAGCAGCTTTACAGGAATGAGGAATGTGCTGGCTCTTGCCACCATGGAGGGGAGAGGGATGTGCCTCTGCTCATGCTGGCAGAAGCTCCAGCAGGTACTTGGAGCCTTTTGCAGGGCTGGACAGGGACAGTGGGCTGCTCACCCTGCCAGAGGAGCCTTGTGGCCTTTGGGGTACTTTGCATTCCTATCCAAAAGTTGATCCAACACCATTTTCTCTGAAACGTTAATTATGAGCTCCTGAAACTTCTACTCTCAACTCCTGCCCCAGCACTTCCCAGACTGCATCCTTTAGGGCACCCCAGCACTTATGCCAGTGCAGGAAGCCAAGCTTGTTCCTCTCCCCAACCTCAGCTGATGCTACAGCACTTCAAATCCTGCCTCGGGAGGGCCAGGCTCCATTTCCCATGGTCAGCACCACTCTGGGCTCCTTGTTCCAGGCAGCTGGTTGCCTTTTGCCTCCTTGCCTGTCCTTCCCCCTGGACAGCCCCACCCCTGAAGGACTTTCGGATAAACAAYGCTGAGGGCTGAGTGAGGGCACTGCCAGTGACCAGGCTGCATCCCAGTGCCTGCATTGGCTGCCAAGGGCTGGCATTCTGTGCCCCTGGTGCGGGTGTGACCCTGGAGTCCTGCCCTAGGACACGGCTCCTCCCCATCCCCACACCCTGAAYGTCCCTTCAGGCGCTCAGTATTGGAGCCCCAGCCCTGCAGGAGCCCCGGCTCCCCTGTCCTTGCAAGGAACCTGGAGAAGCTCCTGGGGAGCCCAAACCATCCCAGCCAGTGCCAGTGCAGGCCTGTGGGTTCTGACATTTCTCTGCTTCCCCTTCCAGAGAAGAGGGTGCCCCTGCACATCCTATACAAAGAYTACAAGGACAAACTGACCCAGGACAACCTCATCAAGGTGGTGGCTCTCCTCAATGATCACCAGACCGGCGACATCCTCGTAGCTGTCAGGGATATTTATGTTGAGAATCCACCGATCAAGATCAGGGTAAGGGTCCAGTGTCCCATCCCAGGCACGTTTGGGGGGAACGAGTTGCTTTGATCATCTGAGGGGTTACCCCTGGGGCTTGGGCAGCAGGTTCTGCTTCACTGAGCATCTCCTGGGACCTGCATCCCTAAGGTCCTGCCTGAGCCCCAGGGCAGAGGAAGCATCATGGTCCCCAGGATCAGTGGTGCTTGGGGTCCAACCTCTCCTACCTGCAGATTTTAGGAGAGCCGATGCAGAATCGGAAGCTGGTGGCGGAGATCAGCCTGGTGAACCCCCTGGAAGTGCCGCTGAACGGCTGCGTGTTCGTGGTGGAGGGCACTGGCCTCACTGATGGGCAGTTGGTCAAGGAGCTGTAAGAGCTTTTCCCTCTTCACCTTTGGGATGTTGGGAATGGGGTGGGGCTGGGTTTTTGTACCTGGAGCCCTCAGGGAGGGCAGTCCTGAGGCACAGCAGGAGCTGGGGCTATGCTGGTCCCTGTGGATTCACARCATCCCTGCCCCACACCTCACTGGGGAAGGGGCTGGGCCACCCTACAGAGGTGCTTCCAAGGTCCCAGCACTGTCCTGTGGCACTGTGGGCACTGGGAGGGTGACAAAGGGCTGTGAGGACAGGCCACAATGAGTCCCTGCCCTCCCACAGTGAGGAGCCAATGGAGCCGCAGGCAGAGGCCAAATTCCGGATGGATCTGATGCCACGGCTGTCGGGGCTACAGAAGCTGATGGTGGACTTTGAGAGTGACCAGCTGACRGGGGTGAAGGGCTACCGCAACGTCATCATCGCACCCCAGCCCATGTGAGCAGCTGTGGTGGCTCTCCATCTGCAGAAACCCTGCCTCGCTGGCCCCCACCCGCTTTAGCCCAAGATGGTCCCAGTGGTGCCTGAAGGATGACTGCCAGCGCCCATCCTGACCCACACCCCGCTCCTCCCCAGGAGCATGGACATGACAAAGGGGCTGCTGGGGTCTGCTGGGGTCTGGGGGCTGCCGTGGCAGCTGCTCACTTCACTGCTGTCCCTCACCCTGAGGGGTGGAAGCATCCCCATCCTGCCTCTCCCCCAGCACCAGTTGCACTGGGAGCCCTGTGCCAGCTCCTTCCTCGGTGCCGCGCTGGCAGCCCCGGTCCGCAGAGCCCATTTCTGTGTGGCAGTGGCACACACGGCCCCTCCAGCCCCGACTGCACCCGCTGGCACCATCATCCGACTGCAGCCCCRTAGAGAGGTTGTATACTGTGAGCACAAAGCTGTCTATGCACCATATATACCTATAGAACAGATCTATATACTGCAAATAACCTTCTGCTTGGGTACAGCCGGGCATTGGTTTAGATAACCATCCTGGCACTGCAGGCGCTGCAGGGGGGGATGGAACGTTACCTGGACATGAATCAACTATGCAAGCACTGAATAAAAMCTCTATTTTTCACTTAAAGCCAGACCCGGCTCTTCTTGCACTTCCTCTCCCTGCAGCAGGACTCAGCAGCTCCTTGCCCAGCATCCAAGTGGGTGTGGGGTGAGTTCTCCCAGCCCAGCACTCAGGTGGGGGCGTCATTGCCATGGCTGGCACTGCAGCCACTGCTGGCCTCATGCTGGCCACCCCCTGTGCCCCAAATCAGCCTGTCCTGGTGTTCTCGGGGTGCTCTGCAGCTCAGGGGTTGTACCCAGGAGGAGAGGTGACCCCGTGGCTCTCCCAGTCCCATGGCAGCACCCATGGGGTAAAGCTGCACTCAGCCCCAAGGCAGACACACCACACCTTGCCAGGGAATGTCTACTGTATCAGGAACTGCTCCATACTGTGTGCACAGAGAACTGGAGAGACAACACTTACAGGTAATAAAACCAACTGGTTTTGCACACCCAGGCTCTGGGTAGGGCTGTCCACCCCACCTAGCGCAGGTGAAGGGGTGACTGGATCCTTCCAAATGCAGGCGGAGAGTGGGGATTTGTCTCATACCTGGAAGCAGGGTCAAGGCTCTGCTGAAGATAAACACTGTCCATGCCAGCATGGCCCTCCCACATGCTCCCCACAAACAGGGTGGGAGCCTCCCTGCTCCTATAAACAAGCACCACTGAAACCATTACAGGGCTGGTGGTGTCTTACTGAGGGTGCCACAGTTGCTGCAGCCCCAGCAGAGGGGACACACCAGCCCAAGGGGACAGTCTGTGGGACAGGGGGACCCTGCTCACCCTGACATTGTGCAGTCTCCCACCCTGACCATGAGTCAGGCTGGATGAGGAGCTGGGAGTCTTTCCCACCAAGGACAGCCCGTTCTCCAGCTTCCCTTTCTGTTTATCTTTRGGATGAGATAAAATCTTCATGTGCAGTGCTCCAAGACACAGCTGCTGCTTCCCCAAGCCAGATTGGGGTTCATGGCCAGAACTCCCCAAACCCTGGCTCTGCTCCCCCATGGGAGGCTAAGGACCCATCTCATCTCCAGCCCTGGTTCCTGTTCCCAGTGTGCAGGCCAGGCCTCATGTGCAGCAGCAGATTGACCAACAAAGCCTTTGAAGACAACCCTCCAGAACCATGATACATCTCCYTGTGCGGCTTTTCTCAAACAAAACCCAAAAAGGCAGCTGGGGACCCCTGTGGGGGGAGAAGTGGGGACAGAAGTGGGGAGGTGGGGCCTGGAACAGGGAGGGATGAGGAGTTGCACAAGCAGCTCCCACAAGGGACAGAGTGCCCACCCTGTGGCACAGGGACAGGGCAGGAGTTCCAGGAGAGGGATGGGGGTTCTCTCCTCCTGCACCCAGGGCAAGGGGTGGTGGCCATGCCAGCCCCCAACTCTGGCAGCACCAACCCCSAGACATCAGTGCCAAGAGCACAGGGAGCCCCAAAGAACACTGAAGGAGTTAATGGCATGAACCAGCAATGCYTTCCCTGTCAGGAACATTCCTCAGCCCTGCAATGATGCACGGCCCGCTTTAGAGCATTTGTTACTGGGCTCTGCTGAGCCGGGCCTCCAGCTGCTCAGCGCCTGGGTTAAAAATAACCAGCAGCTCCTCTGCTTTGGAGCTGGGTCCTGATAAAATAAACATTAGCACAGCTATTCCTGAAGGTCACTCCCATCCATCTGAGCCTCGGCAGAGCAAGGCTGCTCTGACGAGAAGGGAACAGACTCCAAACGCTGCAGTTAGGGTTTAGCGAAAGGGGCTGGCTCTCAGGGCTGGTTTGTCCTCCATTATCCACAGAACTGGGGTCAGCTTCTCTGTGCCCATCCCGGACAATCAACGTGGTACCACACTGCATCCATCTCCCAGTGCCCATCCCAGATCACTGATGTGGTACCACACTGCATCCATCTCCCAGTGCCCATCCCAGATCACTGATGTGGTACCATGCTGCATCCATCTCCCAATGCCACACTGGATCACTGGTACAGTCCCACACTGCATCCATCAGACCCTTTGGCACTCTTGCCGTGCCAGCAATAAATTATAAATTAAATATTTCCAGCATCCACTGCGTGGGAGGGTTTGTAATTCAGTGCTAGTCCAAGTGCCAAAGCCAGGCATTCCCACAGAGGGGAGGTTATGGATGTCCCYCGGCTCGCTGGAGATGCTGACTTGCCAAGAACTGATTGTAAACTCATTTTAGATTTGATGACCTTTAACTTACCTTCATTGATGGATCGAAACTAGAACAAACTCCCATAAATCAGAGCTTTCACAAGAACAAATCTGTGGGATTTCCAAGTGCTACTGCCTCTCCAAAGGTCTCCCTCCTCCTCCACAAACATGGGACACATTTTTACTCTCCTTGGTCCAATGAGACAACTGAGTCACCACCAAACAGCAAAAGAGACAATAAACCCCAGACAGCAGGAGGTCCCGCTGCACCCTCATGGGAAGCCATCCCCTCTTCCACAGCCATGGGAGGTGCAGGAGACACTCCAGCATGGCCATCCATGGATAAACCATGGAGTAAGCAATGAGTTTATCCATGCATACATGTCTCCATGCACCCCATGGATAAATAAGTGTGGATAATAGTCTCTCTGCCTGCCTGACCCTCATGCAGCTTCCCAGGGAGCACCCCTGTCCATCCCTGATGGGGTCCCTGTCCTGCCCCTCACAACGAGCTGGGCTGACACACACAAACCAGCAAGGACCGATCAACAGGGCATTGGCAGCAGAGGGATGTGCTGACCGTCAGCCATTTATCTCTTCCCAGAACAAGCCTTGCCTTGTCTTTTCCCAGAAAGATGAAACAAGACTTTTCTCTTCCCAGAGACAAAATTTGCCTCTTCCCAGAAAGAAGTGACAAGACCCTAAATCTGCTTATGATTTACKATCAGTTGTCACACAGATTTGCTCCACCAGCAGCAGTGCAATGCTTGGCCACCATGTGCCAGCCAGGCTGCAATCCTTKTGCCAAGGGAAAACACTGGGACATGGATTTGCAGCCCCTGTCCAGAATTCAGCCTCGATGGCTGCTCTGCACCATTAGACATTTCTGTACTCAAGGTACTCATTTTCCTTAAACATCCCCCTCCCACACTGGCTGGGGTTTCCTGCGTTTTGCCTCAAAACATCAGTGTGAACAGCACAACCACGATTCTATCTGCTCCAGCACACATAGAGGCCTGTGAGGCCCTTGGCTTTATAAAATTTCTTCCTATATGTCCTTACATGAAGAGTAGCTGAAAATAAACATGAACAACCTGYTTCCTACCTACTGTTGGCAGCAGGTGGGACAGAGGCAAAGGATGCCTGTGGAACACTCCTAAAGCCACTGAAATCACTGGCAAATACACATCCCAGCCTCAGTCCAAGAGACTGGCGCCGTCTCTGCTGTGACATTTCATCCAAGTATTTTACGAGGTCATTTTTATTTTCAGAGCATTAGGGACAGCTTATACTTTTTCTAATCCTAGAGATAAATATACATGAATTTTGCAAATGAGCAGGGAACACATCAAAACTTGGCCCAAGTAACCAGACAAAGCCCAAAGCATCCCGCCCTGGGTCGAAACATTGGCAGCACAACTGCCCACCCTCCCCCTGCAGGAAGCCTGCACCACTCCAAGGCTCTGCCAGCCCTTCCTCATCACCATCGCAACCTGGGAACTCACAGACTGACCTGCCAGTTAGTCAGGAGTTCCTCACCTTGTACAGGTGCATAAGCCACCATTCCTTGGTTACACAGAAAAGGGAATGCACACCAGTGCTCTRAGGCACTGAACTGCAAAGACAGCTGCCTAACAGTCAAGTATTTTTGGAGGCATTTGTTCTTAAAAAAAAACAACAAAAACCCGATTTGCAAAGTCAAGGAAGGACAGCCAGTACCTTGTCAAATTTACGTCTTTGAAAACCCCACCTTAGTTCCTGCAACACAACACAAAGGTGGTTTTCACTGGGAAAAACCACACCAGCTCCCTCCCGCTCCCACAACACTGCCCAACCTCTGCAAGGCTTTGTGAAAGCACGGCTAAATGTAGTCCCTTTAAGGGAAGATTTGTAAATCAGTATAAAACATAATCCGCTTTGCAGATACTCTCCAAGGCATATGAAACAATCACTGCATGCCCACAGAGGCTGTTRCAGACTGGTTAATTGAAGAATCCCTAAGCCCCCCAAAAACGTCCAGAATTAACTCCCAGGGTGATGTGAAGACCCCCCCAAAGCTGAGAGGTTTCGATCACACTGACCCAGCTAGAACAGCAGCTCTGGGTACTCATGCAGGGAGGCACCTTCCTCCCATCCCACGTTTTGCTTTTATTTGTATTTTTTCCCCAGAGTAACAACGGACATCTCCTCTTAAAATGCCACATTTCCACTCTGCGTGGAAAACTGACATATGGATCTCCCAAAGTCACTGCTTGGGCTTTAGAAGGGTAAAAAACCCCAAAAAATCCCACAGGGTGCCAGAGCATTGAGGAAAAAAGTAAAGACACTACTCTTCAATGACACCCTCTTTATTCAAAAATAGATATCTATGAGACATTTCAGAATATACTGCTGTCAAATGGCAGCCTATATGTCTAAATTAATTCCTAAGTCAATTCATATACAGATTTAAGCTTTTGTTAAAAAAGACACACTGTGGGAAAATCTGTTTAACCTTCAGAAAATGTCACCTAGTTCACCAGATGCCCTTTGCCCAAAAAGTAAAACAAATAAAATTAAAAACCACAAGACTTCATTTAAATTAAGCAAAATAAAACACACACATATATTCAGAAAAAAAAATCAGAACATTTCAATTAAAAAATAAAAAACAGACAGACAACTCTCTCACAGATCTGCCCAAAACACAAACGTGAGATGCCAACACATTTGTCTACATCGGTTTTTGACAGCTTTTTTTGTCCTATAATGGATACACATTCAATCAATGCTCAAAATAACTTGGTTTAAACAGCCTCGGGGTAACTCTGTGAGCTGAATCAGGATGGAAAAGAGTCTTTTGGTTTGGGTTCTTGAAGT